TTCTGCAACCCCCCTTTTTGTGTTCCATGCTTTGAATGTTACTGCTAGGTTTGTTACAGTTCTTAAAGGAATCTAACATCCTATTAATGCAATGAACAACCATGTCATAACCAGAGTAGTTTAGGAACAAATTAGAACAAGCAAGATGTATTGTACTTATAAGAACAGGCCACAAATAGTAAGGTGCTTTTAAGTAATTTAAAGACTAGTACTTAATACAAGTGAAATTATCTCGGGCAAAAGAATGGTATAAAGCAGCACATAAGTGAGAAAAAAGCACACCTCTTTATCAGCAGAGTTAGCTGGGTTGTAAACTTTGCCAGTGCTTGCTGCACCCCCAGTCAAATCACCAAATTCATTAATGGACCAACCATGCTTTCCAGGTGATAATCCATTGAAATTAGCTTCAATTCTAGCCAATTCCATGTTTACTTGAGCGAAGCGTACAATACCAAAAACCAGTGGACCCTTAAATTCGGATACAGCAGCAGAAACCAGATAATCTGCAGCACATCAAAATGCTGAATTATGTCTAGAACATGAGCAATATCATTGCATTAAGACCAACAGTCCTTTGAAGAGAAAGGACACTGAAGCATCCAATACAAAAGATAAAAGGCAATATGCAAGTGCAACAACCCGTAGCACTCATTATGAATTTTACAAGACACCAAGGACCACAAACCAAAATTAAGAAATGAGCAAACAATTTCACAGTGGGATGTTGGATTCAAAATATCATGTAACCATCAAAGGAATAATTTGAAACGAACGAGTTGATGGACGACATGATAAATGAAAATAAAGCTCCAAAACAAACCATCAGGGCTCCCTTGTCCAATCAGCCGGGCTTTTCGACCAGTCTGCTCCAGAGCATCAGTCATGGTTTTCACAGGTGAAGTACCGAGTACCCTCACAACCTGGTTGGTCAAATCCACTTCCACATTCTTAACTCCTAAAAAACTCAATCAAAAAATGTAGAAGTCAATAACACCGCAGCAAAATACTGAATCAAAATGACATACTACAAAACTTTCAGGCACCCACCAGCTACCGTCTGCAATTTATTCTTCACTGCCTCAACACAGCCCTCACATGACATGTCCACCATATACTCTGTCTGTTACCATATTAATACCATAACTCTCAGTACCAAGACTCCATTTTTCCCACTAAAGACTGTCAGAAAGCATTTTCTATTACATCCATTTTCATCAATAGTAACAATCTTAGATCTTTCCCCTCCCCCCCTGCCCCCACCAGCAACGTATATATTTATGTTGATCAAATTGATACAAGACATGCAGTAAAAACAACCAAAGAATCAAACTTACAAGTAGCTCAGGCAAGAAAGCGCCATTCTGCGAATAAAAAACGCAAAAAATTAGCAAAAAAGAAAAAAACGAAGCTCTCTAGGCCTTAGAATCTAAGAACACCAAAAGAGACGATAAGAATATTCTCTTTCATAGAAAAATTCCACGAAAATTGATGTGGGCACCTGAATAGAAGAAGAGGGTTTGTGATTGGATGAGGGGGGCTCCATCTTAGAAGCAGCAAGACTCTTGACTACCCCCAATCTGAATGGTCCAAGATTATCTTTCCAAGACAAGGGAATTGACCCAGAGTTTAAGGTTTTCGATAGGAATCCTGGGAACTGTGAGGAAGAATGTGAGGAGGAAGATGAAGGTAGAGAAGAGACGAAGGCAGCAGCAGAAGCTATGGCAGCTGTTTTTGGTGTCAGCATCGACCTCAGAAATGCCATCCTTAATATATATAGTTCGGCTTTTTGAGTTTTTCCTTTCCCCCTCCGGGCTATGGAGGGTATTGCCTTTGTCTGACCATTTGGGTTTTCTTTGATCCTCACTTTCAAGTTTCAACGTTGTTGTTTACGGACGATGCGGCCTTCGAAAGATAGAGAGTAGTCAAGGGTCATGACTCTAGATGCATCCACATCACGGTCACTACGGCCTTGTTTGGGAGATTAAGATAACAAGGAGAGCAACATATCTTATTATTAATATAACAAGAAAAAACTCTATTCTTTTTTAAGTAAATCGTACATAAATTGATAGTACATACACTATTACAGTTGAATATATGACATATGAGTAAATTTTGGATTTTAATTTTAAATGCAGAAGAGTTATTATGCATCTAATGATGACAGTGCATACACTGTCAATATATAAAAAATTAATTTTTTTTTTTTTTATAGAAGTTAACCTTATACATTCATACTGTATATACTGTTTACGAATATAAAATTAATCTACATAAAAATTCTTTTACGAGCAGATCTCTCAATCGCCATTTTACCAAAAAATTTATCCCAATTGACAGACACATGACGCAGAATCCAAGCAAATATTGACCAAATAAATGGGTTTAGCCCACAACAAGTGCCGAAATGGACCTAAAACGGAAACTAGCCCAATACTTTTGGGCTCAAAAGAAGCATTTTTGTGTTTCTTTGGTTGTAGAACATCTGATGTTCGTTGGATCCTTAAGCCATTCATCTGCAAACAAAATGGAATGATGTACCAACGTGGGTATCCAGTACTTCAATATTGTTGACAGAGAATTGCAATTTTGATTTCAAATCTTTGGGTATCGAGTGTTTTAATCCTTAATGTTTGAATAAAAGCAAATGTAATTTTAAGTTAGTTTTTATATACATTTAGTTCTAATGGTTGATTTTTTACCAATCACTATTGGAATCTGGTCATGTGCCAACAACTAATTGTGCAGAAAATTAGAAAAAAATAATAGAAAGTTGCTAGCCTTAATATTTAACAAAAGATACTAATGACTCATATACTGGTCATGCGAGTAATTAATCTTTAACTTAATTTTTTTGTTAACTATTTTTGTATTTCTGAGCTAAAGAGTAATTATTCATGTGATTAGTATGGGAGTAATTAGTCTTCTTTCACTACAAATTATGACCAACAATATTTATATTAAGTTTTTTAATTCTTTTAAAAAAATTAATTGCCGGTATGTAATAACATGTCACCAGATTCCTATAGCAATTGGTAAAAAGAGAGGAAAAGTGACTGGTCAACAGAGAGAAAAGGAAAAAGAAGAATGTGAATATAGTCAACAACACAAAAGAAAAAAGCACTGATTTTTTTTTTTTTAATTTCTCTCAAAATTATTTATAAATTTTTCGTGATTGGCTCCAGCATTTTATATTGGGTGGTTCAAAATATTCACTGTTTTATTTTACTTACAAATGAATTTATGAACATGATGATTAATGAATCCCAGTGGACTAAAAGCGTTTGACACATAATCGTGAACCATGTCATTTAGGTTCCGTTTCATAAAACTGAATGTGAATTCTGAAGTCTGAATTCTGAAATCTGAATACTGAAACAATTAATTTGCTGAATTTTAAGCACTGAAAAGAAATATATAAATGTCTGAATTTTAATGTTAAACCTATTTATACTGTTTGATAAACATTTATAACTGAATGCTTAATAAATTAAATTGGACAATTTTGCCGTTATATATTTTCATCCAAAAAAGAAATAGAACCTATAATTTAATTATTTTAAAATTGTTAGGTATGTAAATGATAATATTTATTTTTAAATCAAATTAATATAAAAGATGAAATATATTATATGAAGAGTATGGAGAAGATGTGAAAGTCATTAAAAAAGGAGAAAAGAGAAATAGAAAATCCTTAGATAGAGAATATCAGGTTGTTTAATTAGATAAGAATTTTGAACATAATTAACAAATAAGGGTAGATTTGGTAGATAAGATAAGGTAGTTGAAGTAATTCTATTAATTCTTATCAAAATTAAGCATTCAGTTAGGATTCTTGTGCTGAAAAAAATACATACGATTTCAGCACTGCTTAACAAGTTCAGTAGATAGATTTTCATTTGTTAAACACTCAAAACATTTGAATGTCTGAAAAAGTTCATTTTCAGCATATTTTAATGTTATTAAACAGACCCATTGTGTTCTGGTTCAATTCAGACAAACGGAAAATAATTATAAAGAAGAAATCCTATAGAATCCTCCCAACTCCCAAGTATTGAGAAGACACCCAATTAATCCGATTGATAAGATATTGTATATACTTAAGTCATTAAAAATGTTCCATCAATAAAATAACCAAATAACAATGAATTTAGGTTCTCATCAAAAAAAAAAATGGTAAATGAAATAAGAAAAATTTTTGGACAAGTTCCCTGCATAACAAATAGCCAAAATTCGTTATATCTGTTTTGTGCAAAAAAGAGAGGACTATTTGGTTAAAAGAACAACCGCGTAATTCTTGTGAAGTGCTTTTCTTCTAAATTATTCTGCTCAAAGATTAACTGTCGGATAGATCAGAATCAATTGCAGCCAAATAGGGTAGATCCCATTTCATACTAAGTGATGCGCGAGTGTTAAAAGTACTGATATAGTGGCTTATGAAATTGAAGTCAAATGCGAGAATTGTTGATCAGCTTTTGCTTTATATAGTAGATTATTCTTGCAGGTTTGGCGTGTTTATGAAAAGCCTGATCGACGATCATGACTACTTCAACGCGTCCTCTGACCCAAAGAAGACTTGGTCACAAAATCTTCTCAAAGAAGATGAATTAACGACGAATTTCCCACCAGTAGAAAGCTATGATTGGTGTTGCTATATAAATATGCCTCTGCTGCAACCTTGAGAATTATGCTCAGAAAACTGAATCTTCACTTCCCTTGAGTAAATACCTTCATTTTTCGGTGCAGAACACTGGCAGCTGCAAGCTGCAATTTGGCTTTTTGAAATTTTTAGCCACTTCAGACATGGGATTGACGGAAATTCTCATTCTGATTTCTGTACTCAGTTTTCATTCTTTGGCAGTTGCTATTAATGATTTTCTTGGCAAGAGCAATTTAGAGACTTACATTGTTCATGTTGAGTTTCCTGAATATTCTGATATTCAACTTTCAAGTTCAAGCGGCCCAAATGAAGATTTGGACAGTTGGTACAGGTCATTTCTGCCAACAACATTTGCAAGCTCGAATGAAGCACCACAAATTGTTCATTCATATCACAATGTCTTCAAAGGTTTCGCTGCAAAATTATCGGCTGAGGATGTGAAAACGATGGAGAAGAAGCCTGGTTTCATATCTGCTCAGCCTCAAATGTTACTATCTTTGCACACTACCCACAGTCCTAATTTTTTGGGGTTGCATCAGAATGTGGGATTTTGGAATGAATCGAATTACGGTAAGGGGGTCATCATTGGAGTCTTGGACTCTGGAATTGCACCGGACCATCCATCATTTAGTGATGAAGGAATGCCTCCACCACCTGCTAAATGGAAGGGAAAGTGCCAATTCAATACTTCAGCATGCAATAACAAATTGATTGGAGCAAGATTTTTCAGCGATGGAAATGGTTCGCCAATGGATGAGGATGGTCATGGTACTCACACTGCAGGCACTGCTGCTGGAAACTATGTGAAGGGTGCTAATGTTTTCGGAAATGCTAATGGCACTGCTGTTGGTGTTGCGCCTCTAGCTCACTTGGCAATTTACAAAGTGTGCTCCCCTGGTTGTTCGGAGAGTGACATATTGGCTGCGATGGATGCTGCCATACATGATGGAGTTGACATCCTTTCCCTCTCCCTCCAAGGAGGATCAGGCCCATTTTACGCTGACAATATTGCTATGGGTGCATATAGTGCAATGGAAAAGGGCATTTTTGTCAGCTGCTCTGCTGGAAATAGCGGTCCTTTTAATCGCTCTTTATCAAATGAAGCCCCGTGGATTCTCACTGTTGGTGCAAGCACCATTGATAGGAAAATCAGGACAAGTGCCAAGCTTGGAAACAATGAGGAATTCAATGGCGAGTCGCTTTATCAGCCTAAGGATTTTCCTCCGGCATTGTTCCCTCTGTACTATACTGGCATGAACCAGAGCGATTTTAACTCTGGATATTGTGGCTCAGGATTATTGAACGACACTGGAGTCCTGGGGAAAATAGTGGTGTGTGACAATGGTGGCGGAGTATCACGAATTGCGAAGGGACAAAATATCAAGAGTTCTGGTGGTGTCGGTATGATCCTTATTAACCAATTGTCACAAGGATATGCAACATCAGCTGATGCTCATGTCCTTCCTGCAACACATTTAAGTTATACTGATGGAGTAAAGGTTTTGGCCTACATAAACTCGACAAAATCACCCATGGGTTCGATCTCGTTTAAAGGGACTATTATTGGAGACCATCAAGCTCCATTGGTTGCTGCATTTTCTTCTAGAGGTCCAAGCAGGACAAGTCCTGGTATTCTGAAGCCTGATATTATTGGCCCTGGTGTCAACATTCTTGCAGCCTGGCATCGCTCTGTCGAAAACAACAGCAACACAAAAGCCACTTTTAACGTAATCTCTGGGACATCAATGTCTTGTCCTCATCTCAGTGGTGTTGCCGCACTTCTCAAAAGTGTGCACCCGGATTGGTCTCCAGCTGCAATTAAGTCTGCGATCATGACTACAGCTGATATTGTGAACCTGGCCAAGAATCCAATTGAGGATCAAACGCTCCTTCCTGCTAACGTCTTTGCCACTGGCTCAGGCCATGTGAACCCCGCTAAAGCAAACAATCCAGGGCTGATTTATGACATCGAACCGAAAGATTACATCCCTTATTTGTGCGGATTGAATTACACAAACAGGGAGGTTAGTCACCTTGTACAACGCAAGGTGAACTGCACGGCAGAATCAAGCATTCCTGAAGCACAACTGAACTACCCTTCATTTTCAATCGTTTTTGGATCCAGTATTCAGAAGTATACGAGGATGGTTACCAATGTGGGTGAGGCTAAATCGGTTTACACAGTTAAGGTTGCTCCGCCAGCAGGGGTCAATGTTACAGTCAAACCCAATACACTTAGTTTCTCAGAGGTGAACCAAAAATTGACATATGAAGTCACATTTAGCCTATTAGCATCTTCTGCTAACAATACAGTATCTCAAGGTTCCCTTGCATGGACTTCAGCAAAGTACTCAGTCAGGAGCCCAATTGTAGCACTTTTTGGAGCAACGCAGAGGTTCTAGCAGCATGGGGGGATGGCATTGAACTGTTGCCGTCGTCTCCGGCATCACGAGTGTAAATTTTTTCTTGTTGAATTCTACTAGTAATTCTTTGTGCCTGAGTTGTAATCCAGGCTTGCTTGAATAAGTGATTGATTGATATCTGACATACATGTATTCTATTTTCTTGATACTGATTCTAAGATAAGTTGCTCCAAGAATGTGTACAAAGTTCTAATCTTCATTAATTGACAATCTGAGATGGAGTATTTGTTTAAATCATGCTGCACCACGCTCTGAACTAAATGTCCTTTACTTATTTCCTTCAGGTCTCTGAACCAAATGTGTAATTCCTGACTGTATTAGAAGAGAAATTACCTACTACCAGTTTTACTTATTACCATCTGTTTGGAAAGCTTTGCTATCATACAACAGTAAAAATAACTGGAACTTTCTAGCGAATTAACAAACTTTACCACTCCTATAGTACCAAATATATTAGGGTAAAATACACTTTACCTCTCTCTGCAATTTAGTGATTTTTCATATAACTCCCTGTAGTTTCAAAACTATACATAAGCCTCTCATAGTTTGTATTAAAGTGTCGATGTGACGGAAATATCTAAAGAAATGTCGAGAATATTCTTGTTTAAAAACTAAAATGACTGAAGTGACCAAAATATATAAACTTAATATGCATGACATTTTAATCTCTCATGGTTTTATGTTTTAGTACATAACCACTTATAGTTTAGTGATTTACCATATAACCCCCTTATGGTTTTTAAAATATATACCTAACTCTTGTGTAGTTAATTAATAATTTTTAACTTTAAAAGGGATACTTTTGACATTTTAGTTGATTTCGTTATGGAATGCAAATTCCATGACTTTGACACTTTAGATCAAATTATGAGGTGATTAGATATAGTTTTTCAAACCACAAGGGAGTTATGTGAAAAAGCGCTAAACCATAGGAGAGGTAAAGTATATTTTACCCAATATATTAGAAACTTATTACCTATATTCAAAATTATTGAAATTCAATGCTCGAATACCCTAAAACCGATTCCAACTCTCCATACCGCTTTCCAGTTATCGGATCAAATCCAAATGTCTCCAGTTTATTTTCCAAACCTTCTGTCAAGATCTGTTTGAACTTCAAACAAAGTCCCAAAGCGTGATTCTGCAATTATTCCCTTTTTTTTTTTTCTAATGTGAATTCACTGAAGTCCCCTCCATTTGTCCATGGATTCTAGAATAGTATGAGATGGCTAGATGTTGTAATCTATCAAAATTGGCGCCTCAAGTTACGGTCTCTAGCAGTCCCGCTTTGTGGAGGGCATTTTATGTTCCAGGGCAGCGAAAGAGTTTCTGGACAGCAACTTTATACGTTTTCCAGTCAGAATAAACAACTTTATATGACCCATAATATAATGTTTCCCTTAAACATGCATCTGCTGAATCCGTGCAATTGGAGAGGAAGGACAAGTAATGTCTGAATTGCCTTGGGCTTAAATCTTCTTAGGGAGAAAGAAAAAAAAAAGAAAAAGAAAAAAAGAGAGATAGGGAGAAAGAATAGTTATGGTCAGCAATTTGAGCGACCAGTTCCTGCCGTCAGTTCTTCACAACTAAAACCTACCCCAAGTCAAACCCTTTATACCGAATAATTCATGCTTGTTTGTGAGGTCAAATCTTTGATGATATCAGTTATACTAAACAAGCTGTTGCAGGAATAGTCAACTTGGCAAACTTGCCGTTGTGGAAGATTAGTTCTCCTTGTGCCAAGTCAAGATGACGCGAGTTTTGACATAGTTACATTAACCATTTCAACCTTATAATCTCCTCCGGATGAATTTAACAGTAGCTAATCTTGCATGATGCAGGTAATCAAACGCCGAGTTGCAAAATGACATATATTTTCTTCACTTGAAAATTAGCGCTTTTTTGCTCTCTGTGTGTATATGTATACTTTTGGATTGCTATTTTTTGACATTTTTTTAGAAAAATATACAGTAACAATTTAATGTATGTGAGATAAGAAAAATGAATGAAAAATGTGTTTATGAAAAATGCAAGGATTTTTCGATAGCGAACTGCAATCCGAACACCAGCTTAAGATTTTATTTTCTGTCGATTGCCTATGGAAAATTTACCAAGAACTTTATTTTTAATTAATTTTTCAAAGCATCAACAATAGAACTCCACCAACTAGCTCCTCATGTCTTGAATCCGATAATCAATTGATGAAGTGTTTTACTAATTAAATTATACTTCGTTATCAATCTACGCATAACTTTTAGTGGGCGAATTAAAACTAGATAGAAGAGCAATATATCCTACAGTAAATTGCATTCCGCCCAACAAAGTGAAAAAGAAGAAGAAGAAGAAGAAGAAATTCAGTGATAAACACAGTTTTTAAAATGATGAACATTTTAAAAATTGAAACTCTACTTAGGGTAGGCTCTCGAAAGCCTTTATGTTTACAATTTTTGCATTCTAGAAGTATTACTTTGTTGTCCACTTGAGACCAAATAAATGCAATTGGGGTAGATGTTTATACAGGCTAAGCCAAAACAATTAGGCGCCGAAAATTCAAGGAATTAAAAACGATGGCTTACCACGACGATGACCAAGTACAGTCATTCCCCGGAGCCCGACGAGTTACCGGGACCTATTCAACTATAACTTCTGGGGGTGCATGAAAAAGACTCTCCACATAAATTAATATCATCAAACACATTATAAATAGTAGTAGTTTGTAAGTCTTCTCCAAGGCAATTCTCAGCCAAAAACATTTTTCATTACATTGATTCATTTTATTAACCATCTTCAATTTCTTCAATATTCATGGCTTCTATGGCTTCAATTACTCTCTTTTTCATTCTTTTCCTACATTCATCGCTTGCAATACTAGTTGCAAGTGATGTTTCTAACCAGATTGAGTTAGAAACTTACATTGTTCACGTACAAAAACCTCCTGCAAGCAAGGTTTTAAGTGACTTGGAAAGTTTGGACAGCTGGTACAGCTCATTTTTACCAGCCACCACAGCCGACACAAATGAGGAGCCACGCATGGTTTATTCCTATCACAATGTTTTCACAGGCTTTGCAGCCAAATTATCTTCTGAGGAAGTGAAAGCATTGGAAAATGTGGAAGGATTTGTATCCGCGCGGCCTCAAAAAGTTGTATCATTACATACAACTCATTCTCCTGATTTTCTTGGTTTGCACCAAAATTTTGGCTTTTGGAAGGAGTCAAATTATGGAAGGGGGACAATTATTGGAGTGTTGGACACCGGAATTAGGCCTGATCATCCGTCTTTTGCGGACGAAGGGATGCCTCCTCCACCTGCTAAGTGGAAGGGAAGATGTGAGTTCAATTTCACTGGAGCATGTAACAACAAACTCATTGGAGCAAGGTTTTTTAGGAGTGCTGGAGGAGGGACGCCCTTAGATGAAGAAGGCCATGGAACTCATACTGCAAGTACAGCAGCTGGAAACTTTGTCAAAGGGGCTAATGTATTTGGCAATGCTAACGGGACTGCAGTTGGAATTGCACCATTTGCTCATGTGGCCATGTACAAAGTATGTTCAAGTTCTTGCCCAGAAAGTGACATACTGGCTGCAATGGATGTTGCAATTGATGATGGCGTCGACATTCTTTCCATTTCGATTGGTGGGTTTTCTAGTTCTTTCTATGATGACAACATAGCACTTGGTGCATTCAGTGCAATGGAGAAAGGGATCTTTGTGAGCTGCTCAGCCGGAAACAACGGTCCATTCAGTAGCTCTTTGGCAAATGAGGCCCCTTGGATTCTCACAGTTGGTGCAAGTACCATTGATAGAAAAACAACGGCCACTGCTGTGCTTGGAGACAATCAAGAATTTGATGGCCAGACGCTTTTCCAGCCTAAGAATTTCCGTCACACACAACTGCCTCTCATTTACCCCGGATTATTGAATGCAAGTGATTTCGGTGCTCCAACTTGTGGTTCAAGCACACTGAACAAGACTGATATCAGGGGCAAGATCGTGTTGTGCATGATAGGTGGATCAACAACAAGAATTGAAAAAGGCAAATTAATAAAAGATGCTGGCGGTGCTGGAATGATACTCATGAACACTCAATCCCGAGCCAATACTACATTAGCAGATGCTCATGTTCTCCCTGCTACTCACATTGGTTATGCAGATGGACAGAAGATCATAAGCTATATAAACAGAACTTCCAATCCTACTGCTACAATCATGTTCAAAGGAACTATAATTGGAGATGTTCATGCTCCAGCTGTTGCGGGGTTTTCCTCTAGAGGTCCTAGCTTGGTGAGCCCAGGGATCTTGAAGCCTGATATTATTGGTCCTGGAGTAAACATCCTTGCAGCTTGGCCTGTCTCTGTCGAGAACAACACCAACGCAACATCCACATTCAACATTATCTCTGGCACTTCAATGTCTTGTCCTCATCTTAGCGGTATTGCTGCACTTCTCAAAAGTTCCCATCCTGATTGGTCTCCGGCTGCTATTAAATCAGCAATCATGACCACTGCTGATCTACTAAACATTGAGAACAGGCTTATTGAGGATGAAAGATACCTTCCTGCTAACATTTTCGCCACTGGTGCAGGCCATGTCAATCCCTCAAAAGCAAATGACCCTGGACTTGTTTATGACATCCTTCCTGAAGATTACACTCCATATTTGTGCGGCTTGAACTATACAAGTCGACAAGTTGCTATCATTTTACAACGAAAGGTGAACTGCACAGAAACCATACCTGAAGCACAGCTGAATTATCCTTCATTTGCCATCAGACTAGGATCATCAAGCACTCCCCAGACGTATACAAGAACCGTTACTAATGTTGGTGATGCTAATGAATCTTACAAGGTCCAGATTATTCCACCAACAGGTGTTTCCGTAGCTGTTGGGCCTTCAACACTCAACTTTTCAGAGCAGAACCAGAGGTTGACATATCAAGTGACTTTTAGCCGAACGGCAAATAGCTTCAGTGGCACAGTCCATGGATTTGTTATCTGGTCTTCTGCCAAGCACTTCGTCAGGAGCCCAGTAGCAGCTACTTTTCTCTGACTCTCTGAGACAAGATAGAAGAGTTTTCTTTTATCATCTGTGATTTTAATCTTTTTCTTTCACGATTTTTTGGATTCTGAATAATCTCACGTCTGTACTTTTCTTGTCTTTATTTGTCATTTTTTTAGAATATGTTAAATTCCAATAACTAAGCAAGATCGCTTGCTTAATCACTCATCGATCTGTCAATAAATATTTCAATGGAAGTATTTAATCCTTCTGGTCTTTGGGCTCGAAGTTAGTGAAATTTTAAGGGCTTCTATAATTAATTTAGAAGAATTTGTATAAGTACTCATATATATATATATGTTACCGTTCAAAGCATTCTTATTTTCTAAATATGAGCTCAACCCTAATAACTACAACAAATTCTGATGCTGTTTTAACTTGATGATTACAAGGAAGTAAAAATGTTAATCATTGGTCATTGCTTCCAATATATATTATTACATGGTGAAAGTAATGCCTTTCCCCCGTTAAAGTTTCTACGCATTTTGGTTATTAGTCAAGAAACTGAATTTTATGGTACTATTCTTTTTTCTTGCTAATATCCTTCTAAAGCTACAAATCTGAAAGCCGTACGTTTGCATAACATGTCTCGTAGAAGTCAAATGTTTGAGGTCCTGAATCCACTCTTGCATGTTATCTGGCACTGCCATTCTTGGTCTTGTCTATGGCATTGTACCTGAAGATTAGATGACACATTTTGTGCTGCTTGATCCTACCACTATGCCTGCCATTCTTGGTCTTGTATATGACATTCTACCTGAAGATTAGATGCCACATTTGTGCGGCTGGCTTGATCCTACCGCAATGGAGGATTCCACTGATGGCTCCCATCCTTAGATCAACGGATGCAAAGACTATGTGAGGTTCGTTCTATATCAAATTAAATGTCACATTACGAAGTTGAGGGCTGGCCTAACAGCTTTGGAGCTATTCACGGACTCAAAATGATTAACTCAAATTATTAGTATCTCATGAATCCTAGACTTGTATACTATTCGTTTCCTTCCTCTCCCACCTGCGACTTAGGGCCTCATATATTTGATGGCTAGTAGAAATTAAGTCCAGCAGGAGAAGGCTTAGGTTGGTGGACAAAATACAGAAAATTTAAATGTAAGTCTTATCATGCCATATAAAACTAGAACAACTAATATTTGTGAATCATACCAGAACATTATGTCCCTACTATAAAATTATGAAAGTTATTAGTCATGAATTACAACTTATTAAAAACATTACACGCTACACAATTGTACTGTCAACTCTTCCACGAAAAAACTTCTAAGTAGCATATTTATACTCCAAACCACGTTCCCATGTTGGACTACTATTATATTGCTACTGATCAGTCTTCGACCAAAAAGAATTGTAAAGGATAATTACTAGTCAAGAAACTTTCCCAAAGCCAAAAGATAAAAGCCTAAGGTTCTTAGGAACCGCATCCTTGGGTAAAAACTATTTAAACAAGAATATTATAATGCTATCCTTTTGTTATGAAAAGCCATACACAGAAGTGAGAAACTTCAGGTCCTATAGGTGACCTAAAGTTTGTATCATCCTCCAAAATCCAACTACCATCGAACAAGGAAATGAAGTTGTATTTGCCAAAATTCACGAGTTCCAGCATTATTTACCAAAAGCAAACAAGGCAAATATTCAGATTCATCTTATTTTTAAAAAGTTCTACTAGAAATAAAGCTTGTAAATTTTGACTGTCAATATTTTAAGTAAAATCAAGTGCAAAAATCAACTAAAATGTGCAGTTGAAGGAGATCAAAGACTTACCTATCCTTGTGGATTATGCAGAACAACTAGTTGAGGGAGCACTGCTAGTCATGATTTTCTTGTAAACTCTTCCTTCCTTCGTTGGGTTTAACTCTTATGCCTAGTTTGGGAGATGAGATTTGAGCAAAAAAGAAAAAAAAGGAAGAGAAAGGTAGCATTTCCCATGTTTGAGAGTTTTAAGTGAAATAGAAAGGAAGAGAATCTGACTGATTTGGAAGGAAAAAGAGGCTGCTACAGTTTAAAAAAATTTCCAGCCCAAATCGGGCAGAAAGCAAATGAAAGCTAAGGAAAGGCTGCAATTTTTTTTTAAATTGCCCATTTTATCGTTAAAAAGTTATTGAATGAAATATTTATTGATCAATGTGTCCAAAATCACCTCCTTTCTTTCATAAACTCCCAAATAATATTAAAATCTCTTCTCTTCTTTTCTTATCCTTTCTTTTCTCTCATAACTTAAACTTTCTCTTCTTTTCTTTTCTATCCTCAACTCACAAACTAGCCATTAAGTAGGCAATTCCAATAAATTTCCACAGAAAATTCGAAAATCAGAAAAAAAATTAGGGTTTTTTTGCTAAAATTTCATATGTTAATTAAGAGTTCATACAACTACAAAATTTCTCTTCAAAAGCTCGAAAAGAAACTTATTAATGTTCTTATATCTAATATCAACAATAATATCAAAGAATAAAAGTAAAGGAAAAAAAAAAGCCTATATCTAATCCCAAGCTCAGCTTGATGATAGCAAAGCCTGGATGACGGCAGCTAGGGTTCTTGACATGGTGAGTAGAAGTCAAAATTTTTTTGTGAAAATTTTGCGATTTCACATCGCAGTAAGAAAAGAGAACTGAGGTGGTGAGATGGCAGCTAGGGTTCTTTCCATTTTTCAAAGGTGTTAAAATGCTTCTATGGTCGATGTTTTGAGATTTTTTTGACATTGTTTTGTCATTTGTGCACTAATTTACATTTTAACCCTTCTTTCCTTATCATAGCAAAAGAGGTATTTTTGAAATTTAGAAGAACTTAATACCTAAATATGTAATTTAGTACACACTAATATATATATATATATTATATTAACAAATAAATGAATGAATAAATAAATAAACAAATAAATACATATATATATTATAAATATGTTTCTTTATATATAGTAGGTACTGCTTAATTAGACTTGACAAGCTATCGAACTTAAACAAATGATCGATACTCGACTCATTTGATCGACAAGGTCGCGAGTTACTAGGTTCATTTGCATCCCTAGTCGTAACGCAGATGACATCCCATGTCACGATGCACTCTACATGTGCCTAACTCGCTGCTTCTTTTCAGTTTTGTCTCTATTTCGTTGTGCGACGTGGTGGAGCCTTCTTCTTAACTATTTTCATTTTGTGCGACGTGGTGGAGCCTTCTTCTTAACTATTTTCATTTTCTTTTCGACATGACAAGAGTTCCTGTTTTTTTTTTAATTGACAATAAAAAGTTTAAGTGGTTTCAATTCCAATTATCAATGTAGACCATGACATAACTTTACAAAATATTTACCAACACAACTTTTACATTTTAGAATCAACCAAGTGTTTTTTTTTTTTTTTTGACTATTTTAGTATTGTGTGTCGTTATAATACGTTTTTTTGACAAAAATACTTGTGAATTGAATTTCATAAAAGCACAAGCACTCAAGTCGTAGAACTGAAGGCTTGAACATCATTACCTTAGAATTCTCTTTATTGTTTAGGTGCTTTTGACGTACAGCACAAGTAAGAAAACGAACTAGAGTCTAGAGCTAGCTAGCCAAAGAGAGAAAATTCAGTGGATGTTAACTAATAACTAATGTGTCAAACGCATTTAATTTCCCGACAACATTCGAAGGTATCAACAAGACTGAACAATCATGTGATGGCAAAGTTCGTAACTTGACAATCCATTAGCCCTTTTAAAGTGGAAAATGACACTCAAACACAAGTAGAATTTAAGAGGAAAATTATATTTAACCCTAAATATTATGTTGATTTGCTCTCGCAAAGTTGTGTTTTAAGGCGCAAAACCGCCTATAGAGAGATTCATCGTACTACCATCCTGCCAAAGATCCATACACAAAATCATGTGAAATTAGTCAATTTGTTTATGTCTTAATTTCTTCACATATATGCGCATACTTTTTAACATATACATGAGAAAAACCATTTTGACGTAGCTGGTTAAGGGAAGTTTTTTTTTTTCTTCTTCTTTTCCTCTTTTAGGCTATAATTTAACGTTACAGTAGAATGGTTCCAGATAAAACCAGCTCCTTTAGTTGTTTTTCAAATTATCAGTAACCTTGATTTTTTCTTGAGTTACGCAATTAGTTTTGTGAATAAATAGAATCGAGCATGATACTTGAAAAAGAGTAATATTGATTTAGTGAGCCTAGACATTGTAATAACTTTTAATTGGCATGAAGCAAACGAATAACGGATTCAAGTAATGGTCACGATAAGAGTTTCTCAAATACAAGTAAATAACAATCAGGGCCATCAGTGGTTCTCAGAGCTGGAGTGCTGCAATTTAGCAATTGACAACTAATGAAAACGATCAAAATAGAAACAGTAATCGTGTTGATTCATTCTTTGTTTAATTCTGTAGTGACTTACCTAAGACTAATGGCCAACAAGATATTCTATCAAGGATGATTCTGAGGGGTGTTTCCAAATTCTAACTAGAGTTTGACACACTTTGATATCTTTTGCTAGAAGATGCAGATGCCACGCCTGATAATTCATTGCTTCTCTTTCCCAATTTTGCAGTTTTTGGTATGCACTTCAGAATCGTATCAAAGAAAAACACAGCCCATCTGTATATAAATATGTTGTTATTTTAGCTGTAATTACTCGAAGAAAAACTCTGTTGTTCTTTAAACATGGCTGGCATGTTTGTTTTCCCTATTGCTTTCTTGCTTTTTAACTTCTCTTCAGCATTTTCTGATGAAACAAAACCAGTACCAGTCCAAACACAGCCAGCGAGAGACCCCTTAAAAAATTTAACAACTTACATTGTTCATTTAAGGCTGCCTGCTGGTGATAATTCTACCCAGTTGAATGACCTGGAAAGCTGGTACCAGTCCTTTTTGCCAAAAAATACAACAGGCCTGAATGATGCATCGCGCATGGTTCATTCCTACCGACATGTTTTCACCGGCTTTGCAGCCAAACTATCACCTGAGGAAGTTAAAGAAATGGAGAAGAAAGAAGGATTTCTAGATGCTAGACCTGAAAAAACCTTGAACCTGCAGACAACCCACAGTCCTAAGTTCCTGGGTCTGTATACCAACCACCAATTTCAGTGGCAATATGGACGTGGAGAAGGTGTCATAATAGGCATTATAGACAGTGGAATTACACCTGGCCATCCATCCTTTAGTGATGAAGGTATGCAGCCTCCACCACCTTCTTGGAAAGGCAAATGTGAGTTTGTTGGAACTGGATGCAATAAAAAGCTCATTGGCGCAAGGGACTTACTCGGCCCTAAACCTGGACAACCTCTTGACGAAATTGGTCATGGCACTCATACTGCTAGCACAGCTGCTGGAAATTTTGTGGAAGGTGCAAATGTATTGCGCCAAGCCAATGGCACAGCTGCTGGGATGGCCCCTCGTGCACACTTGTCCATTTACAGAGCCTGCTATCCTTCTGGAATGTGTACTGAGAGCGCCATTGTAGCTGCAATGGATTTTGCTATCCAAGACAATGTTACTATGCTGTCCATGTCACTTGGTGGACCTTCTAAACTTCCTTTCTTTGATGACCCCATTGCTCTCGGAGCTTTCCAAGCAAATAAAAAGGGCATTTTTGTGAGCTGTTCTGCTTCCAACTCTGGTCCAGAAAATGGTTCTTTATCAAACGAGGCTCCCTGGATTCTCACGGTTGGTGCAAGCACAATTGACAGGGACATTAGGGCAACAGCCTTACTAGGCAACGGCGATGAATTTGATGGTCAGTCTATATACCAACCAACAGATTTTCCTCCCACTTTATTACCTCTAGTTTATCTAGGAATGAATGGTGACACATTTGCTGCACAATGTACTGAAAACTCGTTGAAAAAGGCCGGTGTCAAAGGAAAGGTTGTATTATGCGAGACAAGTGATCTCATGGCAACAGTTGAACAAGGCCAAAATGTGAAGGATGCTGGTGGCGCTGCCATGATTATCATGAACCAGGAGATTGAAGGATACACCATTATTGCCGATCTTCATGTTCTTCCTGCAACACATGTGAGTTTTGCTGCTGGACAAGCTATCAAGGCTTACATAAATTCGACATCCATGCCTCGAGCAACAATACTGTTCAAGGGAACGATTTTAGGAGTCAAGAATGCACCTGCAGTTGCCTCATTCTCCTCAAGAGGACCCAACAATGCTAGCCCAGGCATTTTGAAACCTGACATTATTGGGCCTGGAGTTAACATCCTTGCTGCATGGCCTCAGTCTGTCGAGAACATCGCAAACACAAGTTCAACATTCAACATACTCTCTGGTACCTCAATGTCATGTCCTCACCTTACTGGCATTGCCGCCTTATTAAAAAGTGCACATCCTAATTGGTCCCCAGCTGCTATCAAATCAGCTATCATGACCACTGCCAGCTTCGTGAACAGAAATGATGGCCACATCCACAATGAACAGATGTTTCCTGCAGACGTATTTGCTACTGGTGCTGGCCATGTGAACCCCCCAAGAGCTATTGACCCCGGGCTAACATATGACATACAACCAGATGATTACATTCCCTATTTATGTGGCTTGGGTTACACAGACGACCAAATTATGAAAATTGTGCAGAGCCCAGTTAAATGTTCAGCTATCCACAGAATTCAAGAAGCAGAGTTGAACTATCCTTCATTTGCGATTCAACTCAAGTCTAGTAAGCAGACATACAAAAGGGTAGTAACAAATGTTGGCGAGGCTCTTTCAACATATTATGTTGACATTGACAAGATTCAGGGTGTTGAAATCGATGTTCAGCCTAGAGTGCTCAACTTCAGAAAGGTCAACCAGAAGATCACCTACCAAATAAGTTTTAGAAGGCTAAACATGTCCGTTGGAAATTGGTATGAGCAAGGGGCAATCACATGGAATTCTGAAAAGCACAGAGTCAGAAGTCCAATCTCTGTTAAATTTGCCTAAACGAAGAAGTTGGCTGTTATCCTGTAATAATCTAGCAGCTAAAGTTCCAATTGCTTTCTAAATAATCAAATTACTACCCACTGAATTGATTACAACAGATTTGTTTTCAAGGTTCAGCTATTTGTGTAGCAATATTTTTCAAGTATCAGAGGCATAACCACACTCAGCTCGTAGTTTCATGACAACACTTTTAAGCGGCAAAGAACCATTCATTTTTTTATTTTTAATGATATGCATTTGGTGAACACTTCAGGCAATATAGTGCATTTAAGTTCTTTTCAAAATCGCTACATGGTTAAAAATGCACCTAGACATGGCTTGAATTTTCAGATATATATTCCTTGCCGAGCTCATAGGCGGTATGAGAATTTTGGCTTCAGGGAGGACGTGGTTGATGAAAACTTGACCGAGTCCACCGATTTTATTTACTATTTATTTTTTTGGTGCCTATTTTGTTCTTTTAGAGCACAGAATAGAATTATTCTACGTTACCCTATCAGTTTCATGATTTCACCATTCCAAGTTTCACGTCAAGGTAATTTACCTGTTTACTTGGACAAGTGGACGGAGGTTAGAATAATAAGCGCCATATCCAAAAGCATGATAATATTAATCCAGTATTCAATTTTAAAGTAGTTATATTTAGTCTGAAACAAATATGAAAAAGAGAAGAAATCTTCAAGACCAGCATGAAGAATAAATCAGTAAACTAACATGTCAAAGAGAAGTCTAGATTCAGTCCACAGCACAGCGAATTTCTAATGTGAAATAATCAAAATTTTTATGATTAAAGTAAAATTAGTGTGATAATTTTGAATTTCAGTTAATCAAGACTTCAAAATCTTATGACTAAAGTAATCAAAATTTAGATTAAAGAAATCTTAGTGGTTAAACCTTCTCTCTTCATTCAATTATTCAACCACTGAAATGAAATGTGCAAAAAGGGATTCCACATATAGCATCTTAGTCGTCAGATGCTATGTATCTTTACATATCGGAAACTTAAATCAGCCCAACTTCTGATCTTCCGTTTCAGATACTGCTAAGAAATGTTTCAAATCAAGATGTAGTTCACAATGTTAGGTTAGACCCAGTTCAGGCAAATGGCTGCCATTCAAATGCATGCAACGTAACGTGCAACCTCCCACCATCCCATCAAAGATGATCTCGACGTAATTGGATATTTTCCTTTATTGGTTTAATATTTTCATCGCCTGTCCCTAACGTGAAGATATTGAAATGCAACTAATTTGTGCTAGAGCACTCGAAGAGATCCTACAAAGACAAATTCGTCTTTTCTTGATGAAATCTTTAAGATTCTGGAAATCTGGTCCCTTCCATACAGTATCTCTGAAAAATTTCTCAATACAAGACTTCGTAAAGATATTAGCTGATTTAAGAAGTGGTGCTATTTGGCTGCAAGAAACCGAGCGAAGCACTGAGACGAGGACGAAAAGCCTTCCCCATTATAGATTCTCAAAAGGCGGCGGACGCTCTAATTAGGCTTTTACAGGACTGTGAACTATGAACTAACAGCTACTGAAATCAAAAGAAAGATGGGTAATCATGCAAGTTGATGCAGCGAGGGGCCATAGAACTTTTAATACTTTACTCAAGACTAATTGCCAATGTAATTGTTTTATGCACGGGGGACATATCACCGCTGTTAAGCGATGTTTGCAATCCTGAGTGATAATATCAGAAAAACTTTTGCCATCCATCGTTCAAACCCATAATTCTGTTCAAATCTCTATCCTTGGCACGTTCCATAATCGTGTATGTATCTATGCGAGTAGTTCATAGAGCTGGGATGACTCAGAGTGATACTTTCCGCAACGGATCTTCTGTCCCACACCCTGTGCCACTCTCTATAACCATGCAAGGCAGGATATATCGAAATTTGCCGATGATGGCTCGTTTCCCAGTTGTCTCTTTTATCTTCATGGTTAGTTTCTCTCGAGCAGCTTTTCAGGAATTTGAAGTCATGCCTTTGGAAATAGTACCAGCAAGTAACACCTTTTCGCTGAAAGATTTAGAAACATATATAGTCCATGTAAGTTTACCTGCTGGGGTAAGTTCAACCAACTTAGAAGACCTGCAATACTGGTACCATTCTTTTATGCCGAAAACTACCACAGGCTCGAACGATGCATCGCGCCTGGTTTATTCCTATCGTCATGTTGCCACTGGCTTTGCAGCCAGATTATCACCAGAAGAAGTAAAGGAAATGGAGAAGAAGGAAGGATTTCTATATGCTAGACCACGAAGAATCTTTTACCTGCATACGACACACAGTCCAGTCTTCCTGGGGCTGCACCAGAACATTGGGTTATGGGCAGGCTCAAACTAGGGAGAAGGTGTGATTGTGGGGGTTTTAGACACGGGAATTACACCAGGCTATCCTTCCTTTGATGAGGAAGGCGTGCCACCTCCACCAGCTATATGGAAAGGGAAATGTGAATTAAATGGAATTGCATGCAATAACAAACTCATTGGTGCCAGGAATTTTGTCAGTGATGTACCCGGGCAGCCTCTTGATGTTGATGGCCATGGCACTCATACAGCAAGTACAGCTGCAGGAAACTTTGTGCAAGATGTCAATGTGTTTGGCAATGCCAACGGACCTTTAAAGATGTATTGGATTTATGACCGCGTATTTTACTACTATTTTCCATGTACTTTGAACGAATTAGATATAAATATTATTGAAAAATTCTTGGTTTATGTAATTTTTAAGAACTATTACTTGTTCATGTTTAGTTTTAATGTTGTAGTCATGTGAATGTTAAACTAGTTTTATAACTTAATAGTTATAGTAATTATACTAAAAAAATTGAGGAGTAATAAGTGAATTTGGGTTAAGCCAGAATAAGGCTCAAAACCTGAATATTTTGTGAACTGAGTGTGATCATCGCATTAATTAACCCGAATCTCACAACCCGAAACCTAAAAGTATTACAAATTAAATGTGTTGAGTCTAAGTTTATGAAAACTCGGCTCAAATGGCCCGATTGACAGGTCTAAACAAAATGTCCTAGGCTTTTAGTGTGCCAATTGAGAAAATTTTACTCTTTTTTAATTTACTTTCAGAAGAATGGAATTTTTATAGGCAAAGTTTAAATGGTAAATAATAGGGGTACATGGTCATAAGACAGTACGATCATAAATAAATCTTTTTTATATTTTTAGTGAGTAAGATCATGAGTAAGTTAGAGAGGTTTTTTTAATTACTAATTTGTAGGGGAAAAAAGAAAAAGGTTTGCTTATGTGATGATATGTTTCTCACTTTTTCTTTTATGATGAGTTAGTACTTAGTAAGTAATTTTATAATCTCATAGTTATTAAAATCCATTTTATTGCGCATCCTAACAAAACATTTAATTTAAAAAAAAAAAAACAAAAGGCTGGTTTATATGCATGGAAATACTCTTACCAAATACACTTAAAGGGATTCAAGAACAGATATGATAATTCATGATAAGTTTAAATGTTCTAAGATACATACATTCATAAACGATACGGATCATTATGGGTGTTCTTTTTAGAACAAAAAATAGTGATATATCTTTTCAAAAGAGTTATGAATGGAAAACATTGCATTATTCACCAAGACGTGAAAATATCAGTAGCAGAGTATTTCCGCAATTTAAAACAAAAGGACGGGGGAAGGATTAGGTAATAACCATTTTCCAGGGGTTAAAATTCGGCTGAAAAGTCGAGTGCCACAAAACCAATTCTGGGCTAAAAATGTGAAGTCCATAATTTTTGCAAATTAAAGTAACAAAACAAAGAGTGAGATAAATGCATACACGCAGGTCAGGTCGCGTTTCAGTAAGCGTTGGGGTTTGCTTGGTAAGAGTCCAATATGAGGTTCCTCCTACCACTCGCACAAATCCCATCTACATGATCGACCACCATAATCATCAGTGGATTTTCAATCTTCATTCATCCGGTTTGAATTGAATAATTCTCTCATCAAATTTGTCGAAATTACACAACCCTCTGCCTTAGCTTTTAATTGTTCTCATAAGATGGAAGACAAGTCATTGCAGCGAGGAGCTGACGACAGACATCAAGAAGGCCAGCTTACTTCATACATATTCATAGTTACATGAAAAAACAACCCAGAATAGTCCAACAGCAGAACTGTACCCTCAACCAGTAGGCTCCAGATACACAGAGACCAATTAATCTGATACTAAAATCCATCAAGTGCCTTATAATGTATCCAATATGCACATCTGTTCCTATGTATGCAAACAATAATCCTAGCTATACCCTTTGAAATAGTAACTCAGGCAGCTATCTAATCAAATCTCGTCCGCATTACAACCATTCAACATAAAACACCAAATACTCTGCTCTTATCAGCAACAGGAATTGCATAGCCATCAGCTTGAGCTGTTATCCTCTTCAACCCCTCCATCAGTACAGTATTCAGACTGAGCATCACCTTCAGCCATAGTTTTATCAACCAGTCCACCACCACAAGCCATATCAAAAGGACAATTATCAAATCTTGTACAGTAGGAAATATTCCCAGTTTTCTTTTTTTGAAAAAAAAAGAGAGGACATCAAACTGACAAAACGTATCTAGGGTTATGGGCAGGCAACAGTCATTTTCTGTACAAGTTTGTTACCACCCATACAAAAAATTTACTAAAAAGATGTTCGCTAATGATTCATATAATAGGTCAACACTATAATACAATGTTACAACAGTTAACTCCTAGTTCCAGGAATTACAAAATAAGTAGTAACTCCATAGCAAAGCCATTTTGTGCAAAAAGAACAATTCTAACTCGGGACATTTTCAGTCTCATCATTGGGCTAACTACAGCAGTCTTTTCTTACAAAAAGCAGTTATCGTCTTGGGGACCTGTGACGAGGCCTCTTCTTTGAACTGCTGCCCAACTTCCTGCAAATTGTGTGCCCTACATTATAAACACATCTGCCTTGCAAAGTGACCATTTATGGAATATGTAAATAGCCTTACACATCATCAAAACGTGCAGCTTTAACTGATGATTTTTGAATGTTGGAGGCTGGCACAGCACCCTGTCAGATAAAGCATCATTGCACACGGGTCAGTTTGAAATCATAGTATGCAAAAATAAAGA